CGACCACCGATGCCTGATTCCGCACCAGAGGAATACAAGAAACTTGCCGAGCGGTGTTGTGATGCTGATCCTGATAATAATAAGCGTCCAAGTGCAGAAGAACTTTTTTATGATATTGACAAGCTTATTAGAAGGATCAGTTCTGATGACAACACGTGGAATTCCGTTTATTATAATTATGTAAAACCCTTATAACGTCTCGGGAAGGAGAGTAAATATTCTAGTACGCTCTAAACCAAGAAATAGCCATGATATGGATTCAGCTGCAGGTATGGTTTACACGTTGATACAAATAAAGTCAATTTACAATATTAACATTATGCATTTCTTATAATTTAGAGACTCAAACTCTTTTTTGAATAAACTTGTAATTAAACGGGCTTATTTACAGTTATACGAGTTTTATTCAAAGGTTTGCTCCTCTTCGAATTATACGATGTGCTTCCACGTATGTCAATATGGTTGAGTTCACAAGATGCCGAAATAAAATTGTGCACGTTTACTGTTAGTATTAGTCACCTTTGCCGGGACGATATAAGAAAATACGTGTATGATACATTATTTAAATCTTGAGACTATGTTTATGAGAATGCTAATCGTTCCTGAATAAAATACGTAGCAACATTCGAGCTCGGTTCGAAGCATTTCAGCACCGCCGGATGATGACTTTGTTTCATACCAGTTCTTTTCCAGATGGACTAGAATATAGACAAGATGCGATAAAAGCAGATCCCACACCTGCTCGAATCTTCCGATTGAAGAATATCCTGTAAGAACTAAAACCTTAGGTCGTAAAGCGATGAATCATCAATCCACTCATATCCCTCAAAGACATATAGCCACTCTTTTCATGATATTGCTGCATAGCCTTAACGGCCGTAACGATGCAAGTTTAACGGCATCTATCAACGGAAATAAAATTGCTATACACATATATGCCAAGACGGCTTCGTTCATATCAACAGTGCAAAATAATGGCCGAGAGTTTGAATAAATACTATCTAGTTGATCAATGAAAAACGGACGTGTATTTATAATTTACGCTGAACTTTATATAATAAAATTTTCTAAATTAGAATTGATATATTCATTCTTGAGTCTGCGCTGCAGTTGTAGGTTAAATTAGAAATTATTTGTGTTTGAAATAATAATATGAAAAAAAAATAGCGATATATTCTCCGAAGCCACGAAGCGGGTGGTATCACATATAATTTTTCATGTGTAACATCGAACTATTACTATTCCTTGTTTACAATAACTAATCGACATTTTTTCGAAAAATACATAGTAATAGTAATAGTAAATGCGTACAATAGATTTTCGAAAAAATACCGTATTTTCTTGACTAAAGTACCCCGGTACTTCATCAGGGGGGTATTTTGATGGGAGAAGGGAATTGACGGAGTGACACAAAAATTTAATAGTAAAACATATAAAAAGTCTTTGTTTTTGATGCTCTTGAAGTGCAATAATTTTTGTATGGTTCAGAAGCTAATATAATTGATTATGCTTTTCAAATAAAATAAAATAATAAAATAACAATAAAATTTTATAAATTATTGTTATAGTTAATAGCTCGACGAAGTGTGAGTATACATGCTATACATATATTTTCATCGTGATTTAAAGACAGCTGCTTCAACTTGCTACAGCTTAATAGTGACAACTTGTAAAATTTTATTGTTATTTTCTCGAAAAGCATAATCAATTAACTTCAGAACTATACAAAAATTATTGCACTTCACATAGTACACAAGAGCAGGAGAGATTTTTAAAAACAAAGACTTTTTATATGTTTTACTATTAAATTTTTGTGTCACTCCGTTTATCGTTATACCCCAAAATTTAGATAGAAAATTTCCCCCGTTATACCGATAAATTATAATAAAACCCGCTATAAACTTTGTGCCGATACATCAATGCCATTTACTATTAATATTAAGTCTCCCCGCTCTACCGATAATTGTGTAGCATTTACCAAATTGGAATGAAGTCAAGCATTACGATTGGTTGATCTTTCTGTATTTTATGATCCTGGTGTGAATGTTGAACAGCTTAATATTAACGCAAAACAGGAAATAGTAAGCCTTTAGCGAAGGGGCAACGAGTTATATTAACTCACTCTATTTCAAAGAAAAAGCAAACATCTATTGATAATTTTATTCGCAGCTGTTAGTCTATACAAGTAAACAATAAAGCTTGACACCTTCGTCTAACACCCCTGATAATCGATATTTCGCGTATCACTCATATATTATCGATAGAAAAGAAAAAACCCGATCTTAATCTACCGATCCCCGCTTCACCGATAAATTTTTGGCGGAACGAAAATATCGGTATAACGAGGTTTGACTGTACTGTTATATGGATAATTTTACTATTACAGTGGGATTATTCGTTTATAATACCCGGGTACTTTACTCGATAATGTTGATTTTTTCGAAAATAGTACCCGGGTCTTTTACAAAACCAGGCCTCAAAATTGCTGAAGGGTACTTACCAAAGAAAGTTCATTAATTGATTGTTTCTCGACGAGTCAGATAGCGTATGGAACGGCAGGTATTGATGTTTAAAGGTAGAAAATACTGTCAAGTTGAAGTGTACTATCATCACGAGAGGTCTGTTCATCTGACGCACTATCTGGTGTGGTAACTTTTCAATACACGCGAGTCACTATAAATTCTGAACATTATCCTATGCCGTTATCAAAGAAACCACTTGGTATTATTCATCAATTGTAGTTGCATAATTTTTCGTCGATTTCTTCGGAACTATTCAAGTAACTAATTATCATCAAGATATCGTATATTAACTACGGCTAAGTATCAAGCCAGAAAGTATCCTCCAACCTTATATTAGGCGAGAGTACACATTACCAGAATTTCTAGTTTACCATTTAAAATTCCAGAGAATGTGCGAATAATTAGAAAAACATCGATCCTTATTTGATTGGTTGTAAACCACATGCCATGTTATGATAAATTCCAGCAGACTGTAAAGCAGACCATAATCCTCCCAAAAATATTGAATCGATGACAGAATCTTTCGGTTCATCGCCCACAAATAATTCTCTGAGCACGTCTTCCAATTCGTCTGCATCATCCTTGTCTCATTCCCGACAGACGCCTATTAGCAGCAGCTTCTCTACGCTTTCCCCAGGGTCGATCTATGCACCAATAAATAGTACTTTATCTCCCGGTGGCATGACGCAGACACAGTCAGCGACGTCTACTGCGTCTTCCACTCCAACGGAAAGGAACGGACCCTGGGCGGTACGGCATACACAAGTAGCTCCACAGCCGCCACCAACTGCGCAACCGCCAACATCACAAGTATATCACCCGCTGTCGACTGGCCGTCCACCCCGTTCTGGACCTCCGTCTACGTCTTACGTGTCAGGGCCTTTTTTGCCGAATTCCGGTCCACAACCTAGCCTTAGTGAGAAACCGTTGATAACTGTTCCCGTACCGCATCCTCCGCGCGTCTACGAGTATGATTTTCAAGCTAGTCGATGGAAGACAATATGCGTAAAAGTGCTGCCATTATTTAATGGAGAAGGTTTAAAAATGCCCATCGAGGATCTGAACGAATTGGTCAGGTTTGTAGGCCGTTCTAGTTAATTGGTTCACTTGATCTCCTTCCCCCTTCCCCCTTCCCCCTTCCCCCTTCCCTCTTCCCCCGAGATTGTATCGACCACCGAACAAGTTACTTCCCGATTAACTAATTTCTGTCCGTCTGCGACAAACCAAGATTATACTTGGGTGAACGTTCTCCAGAAACGCTATGCGAAGATATCCGTGACCCGCTATCGTGTGGTATGGCTACTTTGAATAGTAGACTCAGTGGAGTACCTGATGAGAAATTAGTATCACGACTTGTAGAGGTATGGTCATTCTATTTTGGAACAGTCGTTCCATATTTTGAAGTGGTCTTTCTTCCATTGACCATTTTGACTTCTGGAAGTGATGAATTCAGCGTGCGACGATTAGTGTTGATGGCATTCAGAGACGATGTTATCCTGCCGATGGGAAACAGAGTCGAGGACGCCTTCAACAAACTTTTTCATGACTTTGACTCTGGAATTCCCGTGACTGACACTGCAGCTCGCATGCTGCAGATGACTTATATTCTCTCGTCCATTCTGTCCGACGACGAGAAGCAGTGGGAAATGGATAGAATATTGGCGGCGTTGAAGAATAACTGGAAACTATTTATGAAAAAAAGAGATCGCAGGGGTTTTATTGGTGTCTCTCCATCCATTGCTAGAACTGATAATACAACCGAATCTTCTCCAGCGGAGAGTGTTAATGTACCAACACCGACGTTCCCGACCGATACAGCTATACCAGATGTGATGGTTGGAGGAGCTACAACTACCGAAAGTCCTACACCGTAAGACACACTTGTACAACTGGATTGTTCGATTGAGATTCTAATATTATTTACAAGTACTTCCACAACCTCTTATTGTACAATAATGATAATAGATTAAAATGGAGCGTTGTTAATAAGCATTTCATCATGGAATGGTGCTTGCGTAATTGTGGGAAGACTTGATCACCATGTTTAGACAATCAATGCAAAATTGTCATTGTAAATTTCGTTAAAGTGTACAAATTCATGGAACGTTCAAATCGCATCTCTGAGTGTACATTTTTGAAACAGTTCAATTATATGATAGTATTATTGTTGCGAAAGTTATGGAGAAGAATTTACTATAATACAAGTAGGAAACAAAAACGCCGCACGAAAAAAAAAAAAAAAAATACAACAAAGATATTTCACCTCCACTATACGACACATATCTCTACGTTTTCATTTCATCGCCAAGTATTGATTGTCGATCATGTGAATAGTTAAGTCTGTCTAAATGTAATTGCAGAGCTTCTTTTGCTCTTAACCAAAATCCATGTTGCCATTTGTCAGTGTCCTTCAGAAACTAACTCATAATTCACCAGGATACAGAGCAGCCTCTAACTCTTGTACAATTACTAGATCTATATAGGGATTAAGAATCGCATTTAGCAATTGTTCAGTATGTACAAGGAGAGCTCCCTTATTATCTTTAGAGACCATTTTCAGAGTCTCCACAGCGCGCCGACATAATACCAAGAATGGATTCTGTTCATATTCAGGCTGTCTACGAGCCAACGTCAACGTCAGTTTCAATAGTCTACCGATTAAGCCAGTCGTTCCAACCATACTCTTTCGAACCTCTTCTCTACTTAGAGATGATAGATTATACATCGCCATTACTACTGTTTCCAGATGAGCCAAGTCCTGATGCCTAGTCATAACAATTCTCTCTTCGCAAGGCAACATATGTAACAATGGCTTAAATATTAATAATAACGTTTCATCGTCACATCCCCCTATTCGTTGCCTGTTCTCGTAGTCAACTGATAATTTTGCAAATACTTCCAAAGCTATTTCTACATAATATTCCTCGGCGTTGCTCAGAAAATCAGCAATTACTAACAAAATGTCTCTGCTAACATTGACTGATGGTAAAGAGAGATACGAAGCAATATTTGAAAATATGATAAGGACGCTCTTTCTACATTCCAATATATCGAAAGCCCTTTTCCGCATCCTTGTTGTTCCTACTGGCCGGCACTTTTTATCGGAACTAACATCACAAACCCCCCCTTCTTCATCTAATCCAAGATATAATGTCCGCATCAATACGTACAGCAATCTGGGATGAGCCGCAAGATACATCTGATTATTGTCCGCGAACGAAAAATTTCGTATGAGATTCATCACACATAAACATTGTTCACGCAGAGAATACAATTCATCAGTCAAATTCTTCTTCTCGTAGACTACTTCTGAAAATCCTTCTTGTTCTTGTTTCGCTTGGAGAAGCAATGCTTGATAAGATTTAAATTTCCTAGGCGTTGGAGAACTATGGAGGTTGATTCTTGTCCCATCACTGACACGGTCAACATACTTGACTATTATATCCAATAACACATCCATTAGTTCTCCACAAAACTTCATGTCAATAATCGGGTTGCGTTGACAAGTTATCGTGGTTAAGGTATTAAGAGCAGTGGTCGTTTCCAGTTTCATTTCACTCTTGAGTGACATTATCAGTGCGTGAATGTCAACAGCACCTGGATGGATAGATAATTAATAGATTAAATAGCTGACAAAAAGTGATTTACAATTTGTTTTAAGACATCTAAATAGCTGGCGTACCAAGTTCTAACAATGCTGGAAGGTTCAACGGCACCGAGAGTCTTTCAAACACTCGCAAATCAATTCCACCATAAGTATCCACAGTTCTCGTCTTTGGAATATAGGCAACTTTCTGCGGTTTCTTAAGCGTTTGTTTAGCCGGTGCTTGTGCATCCTTTGTTGGAGAAAGCGATGAAGATTGAACTATAGGTGATTCGTTCGTCTCTTGTGATGGCTGCGGAGATCCTTTGGGTGACTCATCGGGTGCGTTTTTCACACTACCCGGGAGTGGTGGCGACAAGTCGCTAGAAGATCCTGAGGCATGCGGATACTGGTAGGATTGGGCAGATTGTTGAGATTCATCATCCTATATGTAATATATTATTATTAAGTATGTTTTAAGGTTTCGAGTTTACGCAAAGTCAATTCTTATTACCTTGTTCGTGTCTGATGTAGACAATTCCTGGGTTTGCCCCTCACTGACAGCAAGAGGAACTATAATATCAAGAGTTATTGTCATTAGCATTATTTAAATTTCAACAATGTGAATATTCAAAAAGTACCTTGTGAATCTAGCTCGAGATTATCAGACTGATTATTAAATACTTCAGATAAAGCATTTGGGGAATCTACGCTAGCTTGTATCGTAGGACTGGATGATCTGGCTAATAATACGGTAGACTGCTGGTTGTTTTTTGATGCTAAATCTTGCGCGTTTAATCCCGAAGAAATCATTGAAACGGAAGAAAGGCCATATATCGAATCTTCGTTTGTCTGCTGTTGGTCTTGGTGTTCTTGCTGCTGTGATTGCTGTGACGATATCAAATGAGGAGGCTGTTGGTTTCGCTGGCTTTGTAGACTTTGCAGCGGTATAGGATGATGAGATTGGGATGATTGTTGTGACTGCACTGCTTGACTTTGTTCGTCAAGGTCTTGAGATTTTTGCTGCTGATCGTCACCAGTTTCCTGCTGTTGCTGTGATGGCTGCTGAGTTTGACTAATTGATGAATAGAGCTTTGAATCGTGTGACATTAAATCAAAATTAGACGGAATTGGCGAGTTCCAAGCAAAGTCAGACGCATTATTGACGTATTCTGCATCGGATCCTGCGAAAGGAAAATCATACTCTTCGTTTAAATCCCCAATATTTAACCAATACATATCACTGTCATCCGTTTGCACAAAGTTTGGTTGTGGAGTATTTTGTGACGGCGTCTGTTGAACTGGCGGTTGATTTAATATATTATTTATATTTCCAACTGCAAGCTTTTGGTCTATTTGATGATATCTGTTTGCATTTTCCAGCGATACGTACAGATTAGCAGGAACTGTTCCTGCTGTTGGTTTCACCTCTACGTTCGGATTTCCCATCAGCATAGTTGGTGTTTGCCCAGGCGATCTTCCCGTAGCCAGTACTTGGTTAGAAAAATTTCCCGAGTGGGAATATAATTGGTTCTGCATTGGACTAGAAGTGATGTTCTGGTACACATTTTGTAACGGTGAGCCCAGAGCTACTCGTTTAGCTGGAGGCATGCCGTTATTTGAAAGCGAAGAGACTGAGGCTACTGGTGCCGGATATATAGGGCGATTGCCAGCGATCTGTATGATAGAGTTAACGCCATTACCTGAACCCACGTATGCAGCTGCATTGTTTGCTGAAGCAGATGTCAAATATTGTTGTGGGTAACCAACAGAAGATCCTGATTGAGAGTTAACGGGGAGAGAATACAGGACACGGTCTTGTTGCTGGCGCTGTTGATATAGACTTGGATCCATCGATCGAGAGTATCAAAGGCAAGCAGTTTACTGCCCACAATGAACGAAGATGGTAGTTTCAATGTTTCCTGTGTTCACCAGAAGATGAGCACCAAAACGCAATTCAGCTTGTTTTGTATCGGGTTTGGGGACCTCAGCTGAAATGGGATTGCATTACAAAAATATTATGGATAATTACGTAACACAAACAATGATCTTTTTTCTCATAAACTGTAAAGCCTGCCTGTAAACTATCCACCTTCTATTTATCGCAGTGTATGTCCCCAATTGATAAGAATTTTATGACATGTGTAACATCTCAATGCAAACACTGTTGCTGGCCTTAGTGTGAGGAAAAAGTCTAATCTTTGTCTCTTACATATGTGCTTGTTATTCTTCTCTTCCGTTGGCTTGATGTGGGCGTACAACCTCAACCACCTCAACCATCACCCTTTGCTGTAAACCAGGTCCTTATTTCGCTTCGAGGTAGAGGATATAAGGTACTATAAAATACCTCGTCGTAAATCTTTGATGTTAATGATCTTTTCAACGAAATCTGTCCTGTTCTATTATTTAGAGCAAATTTATTTATATTACTATTTGTCGATGGATATAATTAAATCAATTTGGTTTTTTTATGTGTATGCTGTATGTATGCACGTATGTGTATGTACGTATATCTGTTCTATAAATGTTTCTAGTTGTAACCATGCAATTGAATAATATACTTATTCATTTCAGTTTAAGATTTTGAAATACCAGGTAGGCACACAATAGGACGGTCAAAGAATCCATTTTCGATTAGCCGTCATTACGTATCCCACCATAAATGGATTGTATGCATTATCGGCGAAACTGTTCACATGTAATGCTGATACCATTGTTTGCGTCGGTTACTCTTCAACACAGTCTAACTTTCAACTATTCGGTCTGAAATAACAATCGACACTAACAATGCAAATCCAGGTGTCGGGTGACCTCATTAAAAAGAGACAAAAGCGGAACAATTAGAACTAGCAGGTTTTCCTCCAACAGAGCGGTTGAACAACATATTGACAAACATAAAAGTTTAAGGTAATACTTTGGCCGGCGTGACTATCGCTTTTGTTTATTCATGCTGCGCACAGTTACCTGGGACTTGGATCTTGCCAAAGCGTTGATACGAGTATATTCTTACAGTAATCTCCCATTGATTGTTAGGCTATTGAACAAGTAGAATCCGGAGCAGACAGCCCACCGTACAGGTGATTAACTTCAACCGATGCAACTGGATCGTTAAAAATTCCGGTAACATTCCAATTACGCCCATGTCTCCGATTTCTTTGTTGAAAAGCTCTTTGTAACAATGTGTAACTTGTAAATATAATTAGCACGAATGATAAGTGCGTCATTAGGAAGAATGAGCAAATGATAATTGTTCTTTGTTAATACTTTCGAAATCTGTCAACAATCGACGCACATTCTTCATCAATACGGTAATTATTACCTTCCAATGGTAGTGCAATATATACAACTGAGCAATCGAATGTCGTAATACTGTCCAACTAATAGACTCGCATTCCAATGCGTTTAGGGGAACAGGATTCCATTGTTATGTACGAATTGATATACTGTATAAGTTCGGAGACATTGCCTTACATTGTTTTAGCATATTAATGACATACTTGATATCCCGCGCGGTTTGTTATCGAAATTGCTTTTGCATACTTATATTTTCTGTTAACATGACTAATAACCGTTAAGACATTGGATCATAAATTTCGGTAAATTTTTTTTTGATATTAACATGTCAATAACGGATTGATCTAAATTATAGTTTGTATAATAGCGGCTACGAGCTTGGGATGCTAATCACACTGCTATATATTCTTTTCATTCGCAAATGTTCATACTGGTTTTATTCCTGAACAGGGACTCAGGGATTTTTTGCTTTCTATTATTTTTACGGCATAAAAATTTTCTTAATTACAAGCTTGACAAACATTGGAGGCTTATAATAGCTCTTGAATATTCGTGTCTTTTTTTCTTTCAATTCAAACACATAGCATTTCATAGTATAAAAATATGTAACTCTTGGGAAGCGCAAAACAAAGCAATAGCAACGCACTTTTGTCCCTTTAAGGCTCCTATTCTTAGGTGCAATAGTAGACGGATCTCGGTAAACTTTCTCGTTTACAAAGATATCTTAGTTTGTTATTGAATTATACATGATGCCTGGATATGATGCCTGGATATGCAAGACATTTGACCGCGAACCTGACATTATACCTTGTTAACGACGCTTAGGCTTTTTACGCGCGTGCTCATTTTCATAAAAAATAGTCACCTGCGAAAGCTAAATCGCATTTAGGGCAAGGGATCTCGCTATCATTTTCCGAAGATGAAGATCCCGATGATAGCTGTGGCAGATTCACTCACAAAATTAGCGCGGAACCAAGATAGAGGAGCATCACATACCTGCGAGATGGCTTCGTCCAGTTTCCACACCTTTAACACGAAATCTAGCAATACGCCGCGGCGACAACGTCCGTCCATCCACGTTGCCTGCAACGCCGACTTCGTCTCGATCTTTCTTGAATATGTAGATTTTTTGGTTGATTGAATCTTACCAACCAACTTAGCCTCACGCCCGCGGGGAAATAATCATTCTTGCTGCAATGAAAAAATTTTATTTCTCTATATGGAAGAAGTTACAAACACAACTTCACCAGCCACGTGCTGCATCAGCGTGACTTTGTATCCAAATTTGGAAATGAGAAATCAGTTTATCGGTATATCAACGGCTAGATGATATTACTTTTTTTTGCTATGTATCACCAAATTTATATTTGCAATTTCCAAATTCGATTGGTTCGATGACGCACTAATACATTGGATATACTATATAGTATAAATGGCTCAAAAAGGTTGCTGGGATTTTATCGATAATCGTTCGTACAACTTATTAAGCTCCCGACGCTGTAACTCGAATAAGTTCAGCATATGCCGAAAGCTAGAGATTACCAGACTGAATATTTACCATTAGAGAAGACATTAAAGAGCCTAGTAAATGCCAGTCGAATATTTCCAATTGTAAGTTTTTTGGTTGTTGTCCATCGTATTTATTCGATGATGTCAGACGCAAAACCATAGTTCATCTTTGATATCCCCCGTCTCTTCATCCTCTTTCTATGAACACTAAACATGGCTTTTTTCAATTCCAAGACCGTATTCCCTAACGTCTTTCGCTAGAAATACGTGCATTCGGAAAGTGTTTTGTGTGTGTCATTTGAAATCTATTTAATTCATTAACATCGATGGTAATTATAATATATCATAAATATATATGCAGTATTAGTGATATTGAAATCTAACGACTAATATTAGTATGGACAAAAACGTTAAATACTGACCAATAATTCTTTATGCGAATTGCATGCTTGTGTTTAGATAAGATAAACGTGAATATGAATAAACTCTAACTGAACATCGATGCATATTATTGCCATTCTCTAAATTGTTTGGTTAGCGCTGTAATTCATACAATTTGGTTTACATGTTCCAGTACCTCCATACAGATGTTGGTATCTATTTTCATCGTCTGCGCAATACATTACCCAGAACAAACATAAGCTGCCCCTATACGAATATTAAATTACTAAATATAGGTAAAATTATGGTAGCGTTATTTTTATCTGTCCTCCCGCATTATCACAAGTAATTTTTAAATATTTTTCGCCTTTATTTAATCTCTTAATTCCATCGAATACCATGCTCGGTGTACCATTAGGACCTTTGCCTATTATTTTATCTTCATCGAGAACATAATTAATTTGTTCGCGTACTGACCCTAAGTACCGCGAAACACGTGAAAATTTGTGGGGCTACCCTGTAAGACTATAAACACAATTTATAAAAACGGTGTATAGCTGGGCACTGTACAAACTCAACAATAGGACTAACGGACTCGCTCATTGATAAGGCTTTACTATTACAGATAGACCCCGGTATTATTCCACCGTAAAAGATATTCCATTATTTCATTGTGAAACTTAACCTACGGATTCATGATTTATTGGCATACTTTTAGCATTACGGTTAGACTGTCAATGTAACCTAATCTTCATTGAATCATTGGATAGAATCCTTTATATTTAGCATTATGGTTTAGCATTAGGTTAGACTGTAAATATAGACTATTTTGATCTAACCACATAATAATTTGCATCGAATATTGATACAAGTTTTAGCATTAAGGTTAGACCGTAATAGTAAATATAGACTATTTTTTATCTAATTGTACAACGATATTCATTATATCGAGGGTCCGTTATATCGAGTTTTTTACGAGCTAACACCCTGTAATTATTGCACAATAAGTGCGCTAGACTCAGTGTTAATTTCACGGCAATTACATTGCTAGTTATGTCATATTTGCATTTAATTAGGGTAGCTGGTGACACCGAATAGTGCCATGGATTCAAATTCGATTTTTCAAGAAGCAAGATATTCGGGCAATTTTTTATAAATATGATAGCGGCTTTTTTGCGCTTTTAAATGAGTATAAGGTTACACGTGGATTAATTTTCCGACGATAATATTCGAGTCGCACGACCCAACTTTAACGTTTTTCGCGGAACAAAAGTCGGCTCTAGGTAAATTCGTAGTTGTGATATCTGACATATTACAATTTTTGTGTATATATTATCTATAAGATGCGCTAAATTCGATATTATAGCACTTTTCAAAATAGTATGATCATCATAAAAAAAAAATTGAAAACGAAAATGAAAACGAAAACAATTTCAGCCAATAAAATCAGTTATAATCGCTTCATAATCAGTTATAATCGCTGGTGTAACAACCCAACAAACTTTCTTTTCTTGCCTTGCGCTAAGTAAAGAGGTAAAGTTGTATTAAGTAGGCGTCTTCTACTCTTCAGAAAGGTTTAGTAATCACTGGCTCGCAGAAGTTTTCACGAAGTTTTCACCTGTTTTCACGTTGTAATCGTTGTTTTCGCGAAAAAAGTTGTGACCAAATGTTGTGTGACTGCAGAATTTTGAAAAGAGCGATAATTTCACGGTAATTGCATTGCTGTTATGCCAATATTCTCATTTAATCGCAAATGCGGGGGCTGTCGGTGACTTTTGAGACACGAGTGTAGCTTAGGCGTTTGACGGTTTTGTACGAGATCTTTATATGGGTGGTGAGAAAGAGACTTCTGGCTATTGTGTTTACGTCAAGCGTAATCGCTAATCCTAATTATACTAACGCTTCCTTTAGTGCTTTTCGTTCTGATAGTGCAGCAAGCATCCATAATAATGATTGATGTTAGAGACATCAGTATAGTAATGCTATTATTTTGTTGAAATTTAATGGCTTGTATCATTCTTTTTTCTTTCAATATTGACTTTATTGTAATTCGGATACTTGTATTCGGGAAGCGTGATATATCCTATGATCATCTTAGGATCATTTTAATTTACATTGGTGGGTCGGATGATAATACTTTTTTTGCAACTTGATTCAAGTACTCTATTTAATATCATATTAATATATTTTCCTCTTTCTGTTAGCTGTGATTTTCTCTGCTATATATATAGTAATAGTATCTGTGATTGGTTTAAACTTTCTGACAAGGAAGTTGGGTCTGAAAGGTTCACATTTGTATTATCCTTGGCACAGGTGGAAAAAACGTGTCCAAAAAAAAGGCCAAAAGATGTTCTGTATGACTAGAAGACAATCTCTGGAAGCTGGCTGAAATTATCTTGTAATAAATACAGTGATGATATGGTAACTTTGTAAGGTCTGTGAAAGAACCTCTACCTTTTTAAACTCCTCTTCTTCAATCTTATCTTGACCATGACCATTTTTTGGTAAGATCAGTACATGGAAACTGTATGTTTGAGTTTGTAAACTATGGTAGGCCAAGCAAGTTTCAGGTTTGGTAGATCATATTTAACAGTGTACCCAGCAGGAAAGAGCTTCTTGTTGCTTAAATTGTCACTTTGCTTGACATGAAGATTGACATTTAATGCTATGTAGTAGTACAGCCCAAATATAAAGCAGATCTTTTATAGCTTATTAATATTAATATGGGCAATGTGAGTATTAACAATTGCAGTTGAGAATTGGTACAGCAATAAACATATTAATTTTTGATTCCTCATGTCTACCCCAAACTGCTATACCCTTCAAGTGGTTTACATTTCAATTATTATTATTGTTATAATACTCATTTAAATTTCAACATTGATAAATTGTGGCTTTGGCTAAAGTCTAGAACTAAATGGGTTTCTCGATAAGAGGGTTAGGGCATAACCAATGTCTGGCAACAGAGATTTTATTAGACAACTTAACGGTTTAAGCAGAAGAGGTAAGAGACTTCATAAACAAAATTAACTATAACAATTATTGTTGCAAAGTTATAACGCTCTATTATCATCTGACAGCAGATGTTGGGGGTAAAAGCAAGCAAATTTCACGTCCGGCTTCAAGGCGCTCAAGCAATTATCAGTAAAGCATACCGCCGCTTCGAATCATCCTGACTTATATCCATGGCGATGACCAGTGTCGTCATAATATCCTGCCCCCAACACTTAATCTGATTAGCAAGGTTTTAGGAACAATGTCAACGTGATTGCCAGCGGACGCCAATTAAGCCGATACTTTCCACTCATTCAACTTACCTTCAGACTTGATTTCCCTTTGCAGGAGGATATTTGAGTTGATAGTCTCTTTCTCGTCGAAAAAGCAGAATATGAGGTTCCGGCGCTGCAAAAAACCGATTTATTAGACATAATTCTATTACTATGGAATATCTCGGTCTTTTGATAATTATCTACTCACAATGAATCATATAGTGCTCCCATCCCGTAGACTGTTGAAGGCCAAAACTTCTCCATTCTTCTTCTGTCATGAGCTTATTTGGCGGAAGAAATTCAGCAATAGCACGAGGCAAGACCACGTGCCTGATCATACAAACAGCAATTGCTCGTGGATGGTCAAGATTCGAAAAGAATGTACAGTTTTATTTTTCGCGTCCAACTTGAATCGCGTACCTGTACTCCATTTCATCATCTTCGGGAGAGATTATATGTAAGAAGAGCTGAAGAGCACTCCCAGTGAATAATAATGACATGTCATAAGCCTAAAGTAATAGTGTTAACGCTCACCGTAATATCGATTAGAATAGTATATCCTCGATTCGTACTTCTGGATAGCCATTTGCTTCAAGTCCTCTCTAGTTATAACCCGATTCGAATGTCCGTGGTAATAGTTATAAACATTACCGTTTGCAGTTGGATAAAAAGCGGTTGGTTGGATAGCTAGATGGCAGCACAGGTTAGAAAGAAGAGGGTATGGGAAATAAGTCAATATACAGATTGTCATATTCATTTTGAAAAAGATGTGGGAGAATGGTTGGAAATCAAAACTCACTGTACCTTGAAGAGGCAATTGCGGCACTTAATATGAAAAGCAAGAAAGAAAAAAAAAGGTAGGTCAGCTCTCTCGGGCAGTACCACACTCTCTTACGCATTATGTCTACTCTACGATTCTACCCTAGTCTTAGTTCTACAGTAAACTTACCACCACAACACCTACCTGATCAACAAACTCACAATAAAAAAATCCCATGTTGCTATTGTCTACTCTACTCTCCTCTATGTCCTCAACAATTGACTCGTAAAGTCATTACCTTTTCTCGAATCTTTCAATAGAAAATTTTCTGCTTTCTGTATTTCAGCAGGGTAAGCATATAAAGGCGGAAGAGTGACGGCATGTCCTGGGTTATTAGCCGGGAGAGCTTTAGTGCGTTCTATCTCAGTTTTAATTCTTCCTATATCGGATTGGAGTTGGCTGCTCATTTGTATTGGGGAAGATGTTAAGAACAAAGTATAAACATCAGTTCTTAATTAATGACGTTACATACATATTAGGATTGGCTATTGTCGCGTCATTGCAACCAACCAATGATAACTGATGCGTAAATTCGCGTTAGTACGACGAACAAAGAAAAAAGATTTTATTATAAAACAGCACTAGTACTAGTACACTTACCGTATTTCTCGGACTAAAGTACCAGTGGTATTTTACAAAACCGTTGTACCGTGGGGTACTATGCATGGTGTGGTACTTTGATCGGATAGTGGTATTATACTAGAGGTATATGACGATGTAAATCGCTATTTTATTGGTTGTAACGTACTTAAAAAGATTTTGCATCTTACGAAACACGAATAAAATTTGCAACATCTTGCTTGCTTTAATATAAGAAAAATGATTCGAAAGGCAGGGATGGGACTATGTTATGGGGATACTTTAGTCCGAGAAATACGGTACTTTCAAAACAAGTCTCATTAATAACGCTTTGCAGAAACATGCTTACATTCACAAGCGAATTCTTTCTTGGAGCATTAATTGGCTTTGGGCGTAATTGTAATGGTCAACTCCATAGTAATAGTATGGCTTAACTAAGACAATGAAGTTACAACAAAATTTATTCACCAGATATTAATATTGAGACGATTATACGACTTGAGAATGGCATTTGAAATTCACAAGTTACTTGGTAGAGGAAAGGCTGTTGTTGCTTCCATGATAAGGAATTTCTAAATGTAAATTATAAAGATAATTATTAATGATAGTAATAATAAAATCTCAGATTCAAAAATCCGATTTTACCAACAGATTCAGGAACATTTTGATATAAGTTTTATTATAATTTTACACCAGATAAACATACATTATCATTATTTCCCTATATTCTTTTGCATTATTAAGTGTTTTTTTTATATGGACCTAACTTGCTACTTCACCTTACAACTGCCCAAACTCATGCATTCCTCATGGCTGTAATAGTAACCTCTCAGCAAGATATTGCTGCAGAATTGGCATTGAAACAGGTGTTCCAATTTGTTTGCACCAATAGATTTTTCACATAAAAGTGTATTATTATCAGGATTTTGCTGTATAAGAATTCTTGTCTACATTCTAATCACGAAATTATCAAGGTGAAGAGTTGAGCAAGAAAACCTTGCCTTGTTTTAGAAAAAATTGGGTTGGATATGAAAACAATGTCAGAAAGCACAGATATATGATAGCAGTAAAATTGGCAATTGCAATGTACAGTGACTCAAAACGTTTGAAAGAATTGAATGTACGGGCTTATAACTCCACAATTATTCAAAATTCAAACTGAATATAGTCATGCTTTCCGGCTTCTAATACAATTTGTTTTATTAAAAAAGGATTGGAACTTTTTGAGGTATAGATTTTTAAAGTTTATCAATGCATTGAGCTAATTTTGTAACTTGTATTAAAGAAATTGAAAATAATGGTTTATTTAATGTTTTGTATAGCCACTTTTGGCTTTTAACACAGCAGTAACATGGCATACTTTCTATTAGATCAATACATACTTTGTATGTTGGGTACTTGTTGCAAAGTCAAGTCACTAGCAGATGTGTCTTGGCAAAAGTCATGGCTATTTCTTCTTCATTGTTGCCTTTAACCCAGCTTCTTTTAAGAAGCATGGTGTACTATCTAGGCACTGACTTATATATTACTGATATCCCTTAGCTCACGGGTGAGTTGGACAGCATTATCCGCCTTGCATGAAATAATTGTGCGAAGTAGCCTATACTTATTGTAATTAATTGGCCTTAAGTTTAGTTGGTCGTCCGCCGCGACTTTTCTGCATATCCATTCTTGACTTTGCACGTATTTCGATGGTAGCATGGCTAACATCTAATACTAAGTGTGTAGTAATTTTTACGCGACCAAAGTCAATTATCAAGTAGTGACAGAATATTATTACGAGTTTCGGAATAGACTTCATAATGCAACAATCTAAGAGGAAGAGGAAATGCGCGCTTAAAAAGTGTAAATAATCTTGTTAAGTGTAAACAATCTATTTTGGTAAGTTTAAACGCGTGTTCGATGTTTGCATTACATGTTACAAATGTATAACGATAACAGGTAAGTTAGTTATGGGTTACAAAACTGGCTCAATGTACTGATAAACTTTAAAATTCATGTTTCAACAAGTCTTTTTCAATAAAACAAAATTGTATTAAAAGCCAGAAAGCAAGTGAATATTGAGACCAATTATCTAAAGTTATGAAACTGGTAATGAGTTTGATGCTAATCGTTCCTGAATAAATGCGTAGCTATATTCGAGCTCAGTTCAACTAGATGGTGAGGCTACAGTGACTCACAAAATCGGCTCTCAATGTTTGAAAGAATTGAATGTACTAGTACAGGCTTATAAATCCACAAATATCTAACCAAAATTTAAACTGAATATAGTCTTGTAATAAATTATGCTACCCCAGCAAAAGCAGCTAACAGTAAACCTGCACGATTTTATTTCAACATCCTGTTAACTCAACCACATTGACATCTGTACATGTAAGCGCATCATATAAATGGAAGAGGAGTAAAAATTTGAATAAATCCCGCATAAACTGTAAATAACCCGTGAATTACAAGTTATTCAAAAGTTCCTAAATTATAAGAAGTGGACGGTGAATCCGAATCATAGCTATTTCTTGGTTTAGACAATTCTCCCGTAGGTAAAAGCTTACTGGAATATTCACTCTCCTTTTCGATACGTGATAAAGGCCTATAATAAACCTTCCATACATAATTATGATGCTCTACCTCCGCCTCTTGAAGAAGCTTGAAAATATCAGCATGAAGTGTCCGTATATCTGGACGCTTATCAGGATCAGCATCACAACACCGCTCGGCAAGTTTCTTGTATCCATCTGGTGCAGAATCAGGCATCAATGGTCGTAGTCCACCCATAATATCGCATATTAAGTCTCTATCAAACTGCTTACTTCCAAATGGTGGTTCACCAGTGGCCATCAAATGCATAATAATACCAAAAGAATATATGTCTGATTTCTGAGTAAATTTGCGGGTATGGAAGACTTCCGGTGCAGTATAGGAGGATAAAACGCCTCGAATAGTTGAATTTGACTCGCATGAATCCACTGATCGTGAGAGACCAAGATCGCATATGTATGGCCGACTCAATGGAACATGGTTATCGTCCAGAACAATGTTTCTGTCATGAAGGTTACAATGCACAAATCCTGTATAATGGATAGTATCCAGATCATATGCAATATTACGTAAACACTCTAATTTATCCATCCACGTCAAGTCATTAATTTTTCGCTCCAAATAAGACAAAAAATTACCATCGTTAGCATATCGCATAACAATCATGTACTCTTTTGTTTCTGGGTTTTGTGTGACTCCATAAATTTGAAGGAATGAATAACACCTGTTTGCACACCTGGCATGATTTCTAAGCTATTAAATAAAAATAAACACAAGAGTAGATTAATAACCATCTCAGTTAATGTTAACATTATCAAAGATTGCTTACCTCAGAAATAAATAATTCTGGCATTTTATCAAAACTCTTAAACTGTTTGAGTACAACAGTCTCTCCTTCATTATTATATCTGGCAGTATAGACAGTTGCATAACCTCCAGATCCAATTTCCTTAAATTTATCAAAGTCAGTATATGGTATATACTCAACATGTTTGTTAGTTTGTATAATTTTGTCCAATACTATATGTATGTTGTGGTAGAACACTAAATAGTATTTGTGAGAAGATGGTTCTTCAGTGATCCCAATTATCCCAACATTATCTATATCTGGAGTCAATATTTCAGGGTATTCCTTGGTTAGCTGTTTGAGTAATAAAATACAGTTGTTACAACAATAATTGATGTTAAACACATGTGCTGTAAGTTAGTAATACTATTTGCATAGTTTATGCACAAAATAATTTACCTGATAAAAGTCAAATAATGGATTGTTTTGCTCAACTATCTTTTTGAGTGTCACACATGTCAATCCATTTGCAATTGGTTCTAACCATTCTGCTATATGTGTGCATCCATGACGTAATGATGTCATCTCTTGTATATTTGATAATAAAGAGTATTTGATCCATTGTATATATGCATCATCTTCATTCTCCCCATTACTCCATGATTCCATAATAAATGAATCCAAAGACTTGTTACCAGTCGTCCAATCGAGAGGTTGTGGTGCTTTACAGTTGAAACAGAATGCATTTATCTTAGGGTTTAATGGCTCTGTGCATGCCAGACAGAATCCATCCCCACATTCTATTAGACAATACTTTTGTTTGTTTGTATTATATGTAAACCCAATAGTTGTCCATACATTATTAGCTGAAAGCGAATCATATAACTAGTGGACATGATACATAGTAGTCAGCAATTATTTAAGCAATTCAATAACATGATGCATAAATAGGTTACCTCGTCATAATATAAATCATCTGTCTCATCAGTTATCTCAAGTGGAATCAATGTAACTTGTGCATAAGGAGTAGGTAGACCAAGTAAGCATCCTTTATTACATCCACAATCGTCAATACAATCAAATGGAATCCAGTCCAAATAGTGTTCATTTGCAGAATTTGTTTGTACTTGAGATTTCTTGATAAACTCATCGAGTTGCTTATTGTTGCTAGTCCATCCATCGGATAATTGTTTTTGTCCGCAAATGCACCACACAGGACTACATCGGAGTATTCCACATGTAGAGCAGAATCCATATTGAGAGTAACAATGGTAAAAGCGTTTATTAGCAACCATGTAGTAATCATCGTCATACTTGGTAAACCCCCTTATGAGTCCGTTGCGATACGTAAGCCATTCCTCATATCGTCTAAATTGACTGATATTATTGTACTTGTACTTGCGTGTCGGAAGTGAGTGTATTCTAGCAAACTCACTCACAAGTGTTGGTGTGCATTCTCTAAGGAATAGTAACATTATCTCTGTTCGCTTGTCAATATTAGCGTAATGAACGTAGTCAATTTGAGTTGGCTCTATGTTGGTAATTTGCGAGCAAGGAATCCATTCGAGTTGTGACTCGGATCGAACCAAATCGTTAATTGCTGGATTATGAACAACTCCTGATGCTAACGACATAGTTTGAATTAAAAGTGTTTTTTTTTGTTTTTTTTTTCAAGTGCGCAAATCTCGTTCTCAACACTTGTGCTACGCACTGCACTTTTGTATGACCTTTTTTTGTCCTTCACCTGACTGACCTTCAAATACCTCGTTTACTGCGGCGAATACACCTATTACTATGCTACGCTCCAAGGTAGTGCTTTTATGGTCTAATACTTTTCTCTTCATCATTAGTGCAGTATGCTATATTAATATACAGTCCAGTCGAATTAACATACCCAATCACTTAATGTAACACAAAATCTCAATCTTACGTAATATACTTAACTTGTCGATGGAGGCAATGTTCATGTCTTCTGTCTTAAATTCGATGTTGTCTTGTTGCTCGAGAAATATCAAGAACCTCGCAGTTGTGGCATTTTAAGATGTAATCAAACTTGTCTATTGTGACTTTCTTATAATACACATGTTCGATCGAATAATCGGATTTTTTTATTATGAAATAAATACAATACTCCCGGTCGTAAAAATTATCAATTGATCCATAAATAGACATGACTTGCTATCGTTCGAATTAACGGACGTAATTACTATTTATACGTCCTGGATTGATTGTAAATCATTTGAGCGGTCGAATTACGAATTATCGTAAATCACTATGTGTTATCAAATAAACGGAAGAAATTTCATATGAAAAGTCGGGTCTTTTCTCCAGGCGGTCGAATTGCTGGAAAATCGAATTAAAGGGGGTCGAATTATAGGCAGTCGACTGTAGTATAGTATATTTATTATACACGTATATCGCACAAAATGTAATGATAAATTAATATACATTATTTGAAAACCAAATTAATTCGCTCACGGAATTAATTATTTAGGACGGACTCTGGAATAGAATTCCATTTTCTCTGTTAAAATTTCTCTAAATCTTCTATGCTTCAATGTGCCAGTCTCTAACATTATACCCCACGGTTGAAACGGCCCTTGCTAGCTCGGGCATAGAACTGACGCTTTTATTCCAAAATGTTATAAAGACAGCTCAGTTAAGATGCGTAATAAACAACTGTTGTTTACGCTTTTTGCTGGTGAAATATGATGCGGTCTGAGCTAAAATTATTATTATTTAGAGACTTGATAATCATGTTTCTAACATCTTTATGAGCATTACCGAATTGGAAATTTTAATATAGTATAAAAGAATCGGCTCTCGATATAAGAAAGGAATTTGTTGGGCCCGATCACTTTCTTATTTCGAGAGCCACTTGTATTTATAATACATTTAATTATTATTATGCGGTATGGTCAAAAGATGTCAATTATTAAGATAAAGCACACTTTTATCCTTTTTGTTAAACAGTTGAATTTTGCTCTCACAATAATAGTAATAATTATTTTTTATGTTGTGCCCGTAAAAATAACCGATAGGAAAAACGGCTTTTATCTTGTCTTCGAAACATTTAAAACAGTCATTTTTGCGCAAACTAATAAATAAAGTAACTGTTGTCTAACGAGGTATATGCATACTGATTACGCGTATATTCACGAACATGTGCATGGCAGAATAACCGATATTTATAATTAGGAAATAGAGGCTTTGATACATACTGTACGCTTTGAGTGTGTTGCACATTTGAGCTTAGTTCAAATTCTTTAATCATTTGGGGACCAAAGACATAAAGAAAGATTCTAATCTTCTCCTAGATGAAAGTGAAGGAAGTATTTTCTCAAATAATGTTGAACGTTAAAGATGCTGTTACGACAAATTCGTGTAAGCAAAAATGGTTTGGAGATGCCCATTTACTTCACCATAAATTTGCTTGACTCCGATTATTGTCTCCTTTCTAAAGCTCACCCATCTTCAGTAAGAGCCCAATCGTAATCAGCAGAATTAGATCTCTTACAAATTCATATCTGCCTGGGACGCCCAATAAAATATATCACACGTTTCGAATTATAAATTTTCAGACTGTAGATAGCAATAGAGAATAAACGGTACGGTTATTTGATCCGTCTCGTATAGAGTATCTTTGATAACCAAGGTCTCAGTCACAAATCCGACGATCTTGTAACAGCTCCAAGACAAACTTGTATATCCTCTATTTGATATTGCTATTACTCTACGGAAGCGAAAAAGCAGTCAGACCTTTTACTTTTCGTTTATATTAAGGCGGCAGATTTATCTCTGTAAACGACGGCAATGAACTCTTTAGGTTACATTCACACTGAGAATTTTCTCTGATCAATCACATATACAAAAAAAAAAGATGGTCTTCAAGTGAGGAAGATAACGAAACATCTGTATTACTCAGAAGAATTACAGTAGCTTAGTCAAGTTTCAATATATACAACTTTTGGTTATAACCAGATTAATTATTGATTAATTTCTAACTAATTCGCAACAAAAGTTCTTGAGAAAAATCTGGAAACCAATTGAATATAATATATTCCTCCTAATAAAAAGTTCTGCATTTATGAAAAAGCATCTAGCACTATGCCGAAAAACCAGTCGGCATAGTGCGTCTGACGCTTGATTCATAATAATGTACAATAGTCATACTGCGAGATCAGATGAATAAGCCTCCCTTGTGTGGCTCAAAAAGCATTCCCCATCTCTTGTTCTATTAAAGATCTCTTTAGGCAACCCCCGCTCGAACTGTTTACCAGTAAAACCTTATAGGAACTTCCGCACATCTCCTGAAATCCTAGTTACACAGGATTATTTTACAATAGTCCGCTTATCGAAACGCAAGAGGTCATACGAATGCAAAACAAGTGACTTCTTTCTTATCCTATCGTAAGCCTTATTTTCACTTTCGCTCTGACTAGAGCAAGCATCAATGTCCTTTTTATTGTCGTAGCTTTCCAACTCGTTATCTCCTATGCCCAAATACCAATCCGAATCATAGTCAATGCTGGGATGTTTCTTTTCTAGATCGTTTAATCGTTTAGCATACAGCAGAAATTTTAATCCAACGGCAGCACGACGCATTCCAAGAAGTAGTAATTGCTGATGTCGAAGTAGACAGTATGGAGACGGATATATTGGTTGCTGAGATATATCAATTGGAGTCGAAGGATACGATAAATCGGAAGACTCGTCGTCAGACATTGGAGGAGTTGAAAGTGTAGGCAGCATAAGCGGTGATATAGGTGAGGGAGCTCTTATAGGGGAGCTCGGATAACTGCCATTTGTTGGAGTAGCGTAATAGACGTGGTCGTCAAAATACGAGATATTGCCCTATCAAACAATGCGAGTAAGTATCATTACATAATACTGCGTTTATCGTAGCTTGAAATACAATATTACCTGATAAGTCCGAAAGGGAGAGAGGTCCAGTGATTCATACTGTAAGGGCGAGCCTACGTCGTCAAAATGCTTGATAGTACTACTTGCATCCTCTATTAATCGGGCATAATCACGTATAGCTTCCAGCATGAGATCGAGCTCCTCTGTAGTCATTGACTGATTTTGGGCAATCATGGATGCGGTTGAGCGAGCTTCACGATGTCTTTCCAATAGCTGATAGACATTTGGGTTGAATTAGACAAAGGTTTCTATTTACAAAAGCAGTAAATAGATTATGTAAGCACTTACTTCTACAAGTTGTTCTTGAATTTTCTTCAAATCCTTGTTTATATCCTCGTTGAATTCTTCTCGTACTGTTTTGAGCTGTTCTAAGCGCTGCTCGCTCTCGAATATTTTCTCTTGTGTAGCAGTTATGCACTCTTCAACGTTATCTATGAATAAGCCACATGAAACGCTCGATTAGCTTATGGCATAAAGCGATATGTCCCGATGCGGTTACTTGCATGAGCGATACACAATAAATGGATATTGTTGGCCTTTACCTTGCTTTATTTTTATTTCTTCAATATCTGCAAACCATTCTGGCGCAGTTTCTGCAAGCTTCTCCACTCTTTTAGAGATTTTATCCAAGTCGTTGGTAAATTGCTGAAACTCTTTTCGCGCGCGTTTTAACTCCTTTTCAAATGATTCCTCGGAGAGCGTGGGCGAGAGCAGTGATCCATCAAGTACGGTATCAGGAATGGCAATCTTTGGCTTCTTTGGAGGATGTATTTCAACCTTTAGTTTGCGTGGAAGGAAATGCAGAAAGGTCTGGGAAAACATATCCAGGATAGAATAAAAAGATCAAAGTGAAAATAGTTTGGGGTTTTTAAATACGAACCTTTAGCATATGTTCAGACAGTCCGTTGGTACCAGACATTTGAATACGAGATCCTGGATTTGAACGTTTTCCCATTTCTTTGGTGTGATGTGTTGAGATGTTTTTTGTGTATGCGGTGAATATGTATATGAGTGTATATATATGTATATATGTATATATGTATATATTGTTACAGGAAATTCCTTGGTAGTAATGGTAGAGAGTTGTGAGCGGGACTCAATATAAAAGCACTGGACTGCTACAAAGACAGTCTTTGCATGGATAGTTTAATAAACGAGGTTGTGGTGTGTAGTTTGTTATATACGAAAGGATCTCTAAGATAAGGGGGTTCTGTGCGTAGGGAACGTGTATATATACGTATTACTGAAGTTGGTTCTCTGGTGTTGCAGTATGCATGAGCGGTGAGGGTCTTTTTTTTTTTTAATATTAAAAATGACGCAGGGAGGCAACAGACTCTGGCATGACCATTAAGAGTGTCACAATAACCTTTATTGGATGCTGACCGAGCGCTAATGACTGGTCAAGGCAAAGGTATACTGTTGGGGGAATTGTCTCTGACATCATCTGCTCCTTGGGGTGATTATCATAATTGATTTCATGTAAGCGTTATTGTATTAATTTATTTTGGCAAAGAACATGAGCATTAGACATCCGGATGGATTGATTTTTTGAGAAATTTGAATGATTACCTATTTATAGTATTTCTAATTGTTCGGATATTTATAGTGGTCCCTTCTTATTGCTGTCATATAATTCTCTATGCATGTATGCAAGAATGCGATTGGGAGCCAATCATACGACCAAGCAGATCTTCTTGATTAGCATTATTTCTTCCCTTCATGGAACCATCTCGCTTGTGATTTTGTTTTTTAGATCGGTGATTGTAGGGATTATGTCATCACCTGACAAATATAGAGCATATATCAATTTGTCAAACATCATCCGACTCCTATGCACGATTGTGCCAAGTCGACAAATATAGTAAACACCTTTTGGTTCTTCTGTGAACCCACAGTTGTGTTTATTATTACATGAAAGAATGACAGCCGAACATTGAGCTTCTAGACAGTTGAACTCGGGTAAACTGTCTTCGGTATATACGGATGAAAAATATTCTTACTACCTACGGATTAAAAATAGTCTTACTACCTCCTTATACGGAATGATCGAACACCTGCTTCGGTGATTCAGGAGATCTGTCTCATACCTTATTCTCCTACTACCAATTTGTTGGTAACTGTGTGGTTGAAATGCGGTTCAAAGTTAAACTTTGTTCAAACGTTTCTATCCAACGACCCATTTCTTATGTACTCGACTCTTGCTGCCACTACAGAAAACAAGGTTGAGGACATGTACATTGTCGTATTAGTATTGACATTGTTATTACAGATATTATTGCTAATAGGAGTACGACTCCATAATGGTATTATTTTTGTTTGTTAATTTTCAGGTGCATTTAAGCATATCATTAAACCTTTTCATTCCACCTCAGCCTTGTATGTGATTAGTTTGCTCAAGAAATGTGCTAATGCTACTATCCAAATTCAGAAATTCGAACTTTGTCATATATATTCACTTATTGATTTGCTGCATACATAGACATTGTCAGCATAACTGTATCACAAATGCCGCCGTATCATTGTTCCCAATGAGACCCATAATTTGAATCTGCTGGTATTATGTAATTTGGGTGCTTTTTTTAGACCGAGTCTAAATCAGAACCATCTCTTTGCCTGATAATTCTCCTCTGGTTCAACAATGAGCTAAAGACGAATTGCAATTGTGTGATGCTGACAATGATGATGATGAATCACATGGCATAATGGTTGCTGTTCTTCAGATTATATTATCTGAGGTAATTTATATAAAAATATACCCTAATTACTATTGTCGAGTCAACTACCGCAGGAGAGCGTTCAGTAATTGGCTTTGGGGTTTAGCTCTTCCAGTCGAGGCTTGGATAACCTCTACTCCTGCTTAAATCGCTAATGCAGTTAGTGGTTTATATACTTGCAATTCTTACGTTCGACTTTGTGTGCGCATTGTTAATCACGCTGCAGTTATAACACTACCCTATGACGTCGGGGAATGATTATTCCCAAAGTAAACGCGTTTATTGGTAATAATTTTAAATTCTACCCAGCGATTTCGGAACCCGCGGCTTTACGGAACATCTGACTGCATGTTTAGTGTGACATTAGCATAAAATTATACAGTAAAGCCAGACTTCATAATTGATGATGTTAATGTATTTGATTTAGGCAGGATTCTTATCCATGGTACTTTGAAAGCCTATGCCTTAATATTAATATTAATAACATTAAATTGATCATAAATATCTTCCCTTCAATTCTTGGTTTTTTATCATTATTATTGGAACTTTCCTGAAAAATTATTAGTCATTATGAAATTAATGTCAAAGCAAATGCGAGTCAGGTTTTTCTCAGAACTAGAAGATTCATGATAGCTTTTGGTATTGCCCTTCCACTATCAGCTCTGCATTGTTCAATGTTTGGCATTCTAAAATTATAATTGTAACTCATTAGGAACCGGTAATAGTATATGCACTTGATCTATCAGGATATGGGTGATAAAGAATGCGAATGGCTCAGTTCTGTTGCGCGTCACTGCCGCTGCGAATGTAATTCCCAAATAATGTAAGAGAAGTATCCAGTGATCGGAAGAATGACGCAAATTATGCAGTGAACCCAAGAATAATAGCGGAAGAAAGTATCTTAACGGTACCTCAAACCGGGAAATATGCTTAAGGATATGAAAACGCGAACAAGTCGTTGGTAATTGCGAACCGTTTTGATGCCAATCGATTTCAACTCCTCGCGCATGGATGCCCACAAGCACTTGGAATGTTGATCGATCACAGAGACGTTGCCGTTGTCGTTAGTAAAAATGCCTACCACCCCATCATAGTGTTTATATGATAGCCATCCAGTTTATTATAATAATCAAACGCCTTGCGGGCATATCAGATAAATTTTATCATCAATGGTGATGCAATAGTTATTATCACGTGATAATCTGATTTCGTCACGTAAATCCGAAAATTTTTTTCCAAATTACATTCTTCCTCTTTCTAAAACGAAGAAAGTCCTATACGTTCGACATGAAGGTACCTTAACGTCAATCATCGACTCATTTATAACTTACCCCTATCGAGCATGCTCGAGCTCTGGTTGTTGCGTTTATGGAACAAGCCTTCAATATTATGTGCTAGTAATAATATTTGTAAGAATTGTCATGTGCTCAATGTGCTTGTTCCTTGAAATTTACATAGTTGAACATAGCCAACCCTGCCACAGGCTGTCAAAAGCTTATCGAAATTGAGGACGAACGCAAACTGTAAGTGGAGTTTATACAGATAATTGGAAAGATCAGCCTACATACTTGGTCGAGTCGTCATCTAGGGAATGAAGATTTGCAATTGCTTAATTGTCGATTGATATATTGACTTTCATGGCATTTTTTTACAGTCGTCCATTTTTCGATAAGCGTATAAGCGCCGAAGTACCTGGAGATTCGCTCGGTGACGAATTCAAAGGATATATTTTCCGTATAACTGGCGGCAATGATAAACAGGGATTCCCGATGAAGCAAGGTGTTTTGCGTAATGATCGAGTCTATCTCCTATTGTCTGCGGGACATTCATGTTATCGACCTCGTCGCAATGGAGAGCGGAGACGAAAATCCGTCCGTGGTTGCATCGTTGGTAGTGACCTTTCCGTCATGTCGCTAAGTATCATCAAACAAGGAGAACAGGACATTCCTGGATTAACTGACAAGTCCTATCCAAACCGACTTGGACCAAAGCGAGCGTCAAAGATCCGCAAATTCTTTGTATGTGTTTTACGCTTTTTTTAATACAATTTATTCATATCAAAGAACAAATTTTGACTAACTCATTTTATTTTAGAATTTAGACGTAAGTTCCTCGTAAGATGTGAAACATCATTTGACTGAATCGGGAGAAGGTATATCGACACTGACAAAGCGAGTAACAAACTCTGACTGATATCTTTTCTATTTAGAAAAAAGCCGATGTACGCAAGTATGTCGTGAGGCGCGAAGTTCAACCAAAAAGGGAGGATAAAAAACCGTACACCAAGGCACCCAAGATTCAGCGGTTGGTAACGCCCTTGACGCGGCAGCGCAAACGCCGCCGACTCGCTCTTAAACGGAGAAAAGCACAAGAAACAAGAGTGGCTGCTAAGGAATACAGCGAACGGCTCGTCAAACACTTGAAAGAGCAAAAAGAAAGAAGGGCCACTTTGAAGAAACGAAGAGCTGCTGCTCATAAAGAATGATAAATAATACGTCGAGGAATATAATTTCCGGGGGAAGAAAAATAAACGATTTATTTTAAGATAATTCTACAAATTAGTACGGCCATTATCACCAATGGTAAATAGATCGAATTATTTTTCCCAGATATGCACTTTTTGCGATCCAGGCCCATTATAAGAGGGCATCAAACATTGCATAGTTATTCATGTCTTTCCGTAACCGATAAAGAAATCGGTTGACATTACGATCGTCAATATAAGCCTAAGCATCCTTTGCTGAACTTGGTCCGCAAAGAATATATAATTGAAACTATGTTGATAGATTATATCTTGAGGAGCTCATAGTAGAATACGGTTTGAAACATATAGTTATACCTCGAAGCGGAATATATATGCACAAAGTATCGTGCAGACGTCCCATGATACCGACCCGTTGTTGCGTTTTCGAATCTGTTGCTTATTACGTCATGGAGATAGTAAGTTCAAGAAAGAAGTCTTACCTTACAGCCGTGTTTGTTCTTTTCAAAATACCCGTATCGCCGGTGAAATAAACTGTTGGCATTAGTTTGCACCACTTTTTTGAAATCTAGCTTCATCCAAAATTCACGATTCCCCCCACCAAAAATTCAACCTGTCAACCACAGTCATAATCTTGAGACTGCTGTCTTTGCCAAAAGTCTAGTTAATAGGGCATTCGTTTTCGCCATATCGTCCATTATTTTATCGAAATTTCATGTCGTAGCTACGTCGTTTTTGGAAACATGACTAGGTCTTCTTCAGATTGAGGAATTTCATCTCAAGTAGGAATATGAGCTGACTCGTGAGCCGTGGTATCAGTTATTTCTCGATCCTTTTTCTCCAGATATACATCAATAATCAGTTCGTTTATCATTCTGGAAATCTTGGCATAGGCAAGAGACTCGTAAAATTACCGGAATGGTTCCTCGAAGGCAGGAGAGAGGAGGTACTGGAGTCGTAGCAGACCGTAGGATCGAGAAAGACTACCTCTCGATAGACTGAAGGTAACATTTGTTAGAACACAAACTCGTTTTAAAACTGCAATGTGTGAAATATACTTTATTTTTAAAACTCTTGTAGAGTACGGTGGTCGTGTGGGTGGTTTGTGATTGGAATAACAGACTCGAATGTACGGGGGTACAGATCGTTCGAAAGTTTCTTCGAGTCGTATGGAAACCGCGTACGTTTTGAGAGGGTAGGATCTAAGTCTCGTTTACATGATAGGTTCTTTTCTCTATGAGGAATGCCCTGCACTACTATTGCGACCGGCCGTTCCGTTTACCGAACCGAACCGTCCGATCGATTGCTCAATTTGCAATAAAAAATACGTTGATGATATTCAAAGAACTGCGTATAAAATTTCCCCAGTTTCCTGATACCTAATCGCACGTTCTTGCATAAAAGTGACCGACCAAAATTGAAAAAACATTAATTTGAATTTTACTAATGGATTGCAAAAACAGTGGAAGTATTATGGCTTTGAATATCCGCAAACTAAGGAATGAATTGACAAAAGAACGTCGCCTCAAAACGCAAAAACAAACTAACCGCCCAGCATAAAGAATAATGCAAAGGAGAGGAAAAATAAAAAAGAAAAGAAAAGGAATGTTACATGTTCTACAGAAATCACCTGCAACTCGTATATTAGCAAAAACAAGTTCTTGTTATCATATAAAAAGTTTACTAAATATCAAAGACCATCAGATAGGCAACTTTCGTTCAAATATTCCTGGTCTTTTTTATTCACCTTTCTTTTGGCCTCAATCATGTGGAGGGCTCCTTGATTGAGATCTATGCGGAGTACTAGATGGAGATGTAGAAGCTGCACGGGGTTTAGGCGATGTAGATCTGGCTCGAGGACTTATGTCTGCTTCTGGGCTTCTTTCCCTTGAACCTCTCTCTCTTGAACCTCTGTCTCCTGGACTTTCCCTGGGACTTCTATCTCTTGGACTTCTATCTCTTGGACTTCTATCTCTTGGACTTCTATCTCTTGGACTTCTTTCTCTTGGGCTTCTTTCTCTTGGGCTTCTTTCTCTTCCAACGTCGCGAGAGCGTGAGCGAGAATCCCTGCGTTTGCCATCTCTTGAGGAAGGAGATTTGGATCTCCTAGCGCTAGGCTCCGCAGTACGATCTTCTAAATTCGCCCGATCAGATGTCCTCGATCGAGAGCGACTGCCACGACGGTTTTCAGAACGAGGAGAACGACTACGGCCTCGAGAGCTGGAACGAGAGCGAGAATATGATTTGCGCCTTCGAGACCTTGGGGTCGCGGAGCGACGACGACGAGGAGATCCTCGGCTGCCCTCATACCGCCAAGAACGAGAGGGTGCATTTTTTGCCCACTTTTTTTTCCCCGCAAGACCGAGATATGTCAATCGTTGAATATCTAGAAACATGGCATAAATTTAAACAGTAATAAGTCATATTTACCTGAATATTCAGGGCATGTCCATAGATTCGACGACCATGCATTTCATAGTAAGCATCTTCCGCATCACGCTCGTCTTCGAACTCAACAAAAGCATATCTAAAAAAAGTTTGTAAGCATTTAGTGATTGTACCGTATGTCTATCCTACATATGAAGTAGGGTTGCTTGGGTTATTGTCTCAGTTTTCTACGAATCTTTCTGAAACAAAAAAAAAAAAGGTAACAATAAAACCAATTCATCCAAATGTAAGTTACATGCACTCACGGCTTTGATTGATAACTTCGAGGAGCAGGGATATCACAACGAACGAGTCTTCCATATCTATTAAATTTAAAAGTACGTAAAAAGTTGGTTAGATTGTTCAAGTTAAAACTTTGACAACTGAAATCCGCAGGATTTCCTCGAACGCGACAGCACAAGGCCATAAGAGACTTCAACAGACGCCATGGAATGCCTACCGCTCAAACTCGTATGCCAAATCTCTAGCACGAACTTGAGACCCAAATCCAGCAACAAACAATGTCGTTCTACGGTAGCTCATATCTTTTTCCCTACTAATAAAATAGTTTTTTTGATTGTATTACAAGTCTTCAGCCCAAACGGTAGAAGTATCACGCTAGGAAAGGATGTATAAGTGGAGTCGACGAAGTGGTCGCTTTTTTTTTCTTCTGGCGAGAATGATATACAACTTAGGCTTCTAGCAAACCCAATAGAGAACGTCACGTTTCGTCTTGTCACAATTGACCTTTGGAATGACCAATCAGTGCGTACAGGAACAGTGGCGCATGATATCTAATGAACGTTCACGTGAGCGCTATGGCAGTTCTTACTGGGTAACTGTGTTTGCTTGGGTCATTCCCTCAGTTGGCGTATTTCCATTACAAATTAAACTTCTTTAGAATTAAATGTACACAACTCTTATGCACGTGAACAGACATCAAGATATATTCAATTACTTAGAAGAAAGAAGCTCATCAATGTAAGTATTATTAATCTTGACATTATGTAAAGAATTTCTTGTTGCTTATAAATAACTCGTATTGATCAGTGTGCCCCGTCCTTGTACAACATTTCTGCTGCAGGGTACATCTACAGATTGGCGCATTAGTCTATATTTCACCAATTACAACGTAACTGATATTCGCCTGCTTATCAATGAAAACGGTTTATTGACAATTTGAATTCAGCGTTGACAGAATAGATTTCTGCCAAACTCACGCGTAAACCAGTAGAAGCATGCCATAGATGAATAACTTGAACGCATCGTAGAATGCTACAAAAAGTACTCATTGCTATTATTCTTGATAATTTTTGATTTTCAATGATCGGAGTTGCGCTCGATCAATCTCGGGTAGGCATCTTCTCTGAAGATGTATATGATAAATGATAAATTAATATTCGGACATAAATAGTAATGTGGGATTACGCCAACTGATCTAGTAAAGACTAATTTCTGCGATACTTTATTTCGCTGTAAATTATGACACATAGGGATGGAACCAGGTTGTTTTATCGTGCAGACATAAGCCCTTGACTGAGTCATTCGCGTGCGTATTATGATCAAGAATGATGTTACCTTTATTAATTCAAGTCGTGCGCTAATTTAAAAAGCAGTGTTATAAAAAATTATCCTTTTATCCTAGTCTTTTCTGAAAACTTGAATGTCGGAAATGTACACGGTTGAATTTTAATTAGAAAATAACGAGGACATTTATTTAATATTTCATATGATTTTTGCGTCTAAACTAGAGAACTTTTCGAACTTAGTTAAAATCATAACCTTTTTATGACAATTTCTAATTAGTCGCAGTTAATTTGAATGTTGCGTCCAGTTTCACAAAATAGAGTGGACAACATTTTGTTGGATGGTGGAAGTTTTTGCCTAATTAGTTTTGTTATTACATGTGTTAAAGCTGTTCGATTGACATGAAAACGAATGCGCAAGAAGTTATAAGCCATTGCTATTGACCGCGCCCCGAACCTCCTTTCGATATCTCATTCGGTAATAACAGACATTCAAGCATTATAACTTTGTATGCTAGCATTAGCAAAGTCTGTGGTAATTCCGACAAAACGCAGCTTCAGGTAATGCTCAAAGACTACTACGTAGAAGTACAGAATATGACTGAATAAATTGCTTCGGACGTCAGGATACCCCTTTACTTTATGGATTGACCTATGATATTAGAGCGACCATCCCGTCGTACGTCGCGGTAATTCTTGCGTCGAGTTTTTATGAATTTCTTGGTTATTTGTCTTTTGCTAATTCTCTTCCTCGTTTCTATAGACTCAAAGCTCGAGAATTTGCTTTATAGAAACAGAACACACGCTATTCGAAGCTCATTTCAAATGTGTGCGCGTTAGTTCCGGTCACATAGATGGTTCGGCATAACCAGAGAAGTCGCTAAGTGTCGAGAGTAGGAGTACGTTCAGCAGTTTGGTGTATCAAGTGCAAAGACGTCGAGACACGTTTGCATCGCCTTTCTATGCGCCTTCTATCCGAGATATTGGATTGTGGTTGCTATTATTGTTACAATTACGGCCGGTGTATGCTCAGATGGGGTCGGCAAATAAAACATTATTTCGCACGGTTGATATGAACAGAGCAGTTCTTGGCATATATAATTGGCACACTTGTTATGGCAACATTTATTTCGGGCCGTCAAGGCTATGTTGCAATATCATGGAAAGTAGTAGCGATAGGTCTTCGAGAGATATGAGTGGATTGATGATTTATCACTCGCGTAATACCATCGATGAGCAGTAGAATGAGCTAAGTTTATAGTTTTTACAGGAGTTTCAGGTATTTTCTTCAATCGGAAAAGTTTGAGCAGGTGTGGGATCTGCTTTTATCGCTTCTCCAGAATTCTTGTTTGCGTTGTAGTCATGAAGCGACTATCGCGTCTATCAAGGCCTTAAATAAGACTATCCAACGTCCCGAATATAGCTACGCTTTTTATTCAGGAACGATTAGCATCAAATTCATTACCAGTTTAATAAACTTTAGTTAATTGATCTCAATATTTACTTTGTAATAAATAATGTACTCTATTACTATATTTTCTTGCTATTCAAATGATCATATTGACATATGTGGAAGCACACCGTATAATTCGAGAGGAGTAAACCTTTGAATAAAACTCGTATGAACTGTAAGTGACCAGTGAATTACAAGCTTATTCAAAAAAGAGTTGAGTATCTAAATTATTAACGTGTAACCATACCTGCAGCTGAATCCATATCATAGCTATTTCTTGGTTTCTCCTGTAGGTAAGAGCGTACTAGAATATTTACTCTCCTTCTCGAGACGTGATAAGGGTTTTACATTATTACGATAAATGATATTCCACATGTTGTCATCAGAATTATCCGCGTCCACCTTCCTCATAAGCTCGTCAATATTATTCAACAGTGCCTCTCCACCTTTAAATCGCTTATCAGGATCAGCATCACAACACCGCTCGGCAAGTTTCTTGTATTCCTCTGGCGCGGAATCAGGCATCGATGGTCGTAGTCCGCCCATAATCTTGCATACTAAATCTCTATCGAACTGCCTATCTCTAAAAGGTGATTTACCAGTAGCAATCAAATACATAATGATACCAAAAGAATACACCTCTGATTTCTGAGTAAATTTGCAGGTATGGAAGACTTCCGGTGCAATAAAGGGTAAACCGCCTCGAATGGTTGGATTTGACTCGCGTGAATTCACTGACCGCGAGAGACCAAGATCGCATATGAGTGATTCTGTCATATCATCGTCATCATCGTCATGCATAACTATGTTTCCGCCATGAAGATCACAATGCACTAAACCCGCATAATGAATATTTCTCAGATACCGTGCAATATCCTTCAAGTATCGTAATTTCTCCTTCCACGTCAATTTGTTTATGTTTTGATCCAAATAAGACAAAAGACTACCATTGTTAGCATATTGCATAACAATCATATACTCTTTTGTTTCTGGGTCTTGTGTTACTCCATAAATTCGAAGGAAAGAAACACGCGAACACTTGGCATGGTTTCTGAACTATTAAATAAAGACAGTGTCAATTAAATATCACTTTAATTAATACTACCAATGCTTGCTTACCTCGGAAATAAATAATTCCGGCGTTTCATCAAAACTCTTAAACCGTTTGAGTACAACAGTTTCTCGCAT